GGGCCTAATTATAGGGCCTGCTAAATTAGCGAGCCAGGATCTGGTCTAAATTTTAGGGCCCAACAGGCCCTCATGATATTTTAAGAGGCGAGGCTGGGCCTGAGTCCCGACCCGGCTGGATTGATTAGTCTTAAAATGTGTAGGTGTTCAAGAACAGCATGGTTTATAGTCTTTCCTCCCTATTCCTCACTCTTCTTTGATATGGGATTATTTTTCCCATCTCTCTCTATCTACAAAAACCTGTAGAATATTCGCTTCTCTTTCCACTAAATCCAATATCACTGTCTCTTCTCACACCGAAGACCTGTATAAGATTCATTGCTCTCTTTCTATCAGACACATGCAAGATCGTCCTCTCTGACTGTATCCTTCTCTATCAGAACCTTACAGGGATTCTCTCTCCATCTCTTTCTCTACCAAATCCAAACTAGATCTCTCTCTATCAAAGCTATGTAAAATCCATCATTCTTCCTGAAAACCCACATGGGATTCCTCTTATCTCTTTATGCGAGATCAGAACCATACAAGATCCAATCATCTCTAGTCTTTAGAACCCACATGGGATTCCTTTTTTTTGGTGAATAGTTCAATGGTAGGAAGAAAGGTCCACTTCTAAATTCCTGGTGCAAAATTATTATCGCCATCACTTCTCTCTCTCTCTCCCATCCGAGCACCTTAATTCTTGTAAAATTAGAACTAAGGTTGGTGGAATGCAATGGAAAGACATTTTGATTTTGAATGAGAATAATGGATTTAGAGATGGAAGAAGGTGGTGGTGAATTTGACCAATTCCAAGATCAACTATGCAAAAAATGCCTCTTGCTCTACTTCATAAGTGGACCATTAGCAAAAGTTAACCCAACTTTTTCCTCTCTTATCTTGCATGATGGTTCTGTACTTCCATAAATTTTATTGACTTGATTCCTTTTTAATTCACACGATCATTCTAGGTTTTCTTGTGTCCAATTGGACAAAGGTATTTTTGGCACCAGCTTGAGCCTCATCTATTAAGCAATAGCCAATGGCGCTTTAACAGGTATTCCTGGAGCTTCAGCATGGAAAAATCAGAGCCTGATTCTGTTCTCTCTCTCACTCTTTCTCAAGGGAGGGGGAAGAGAGGGAATGGGGGAGGGAGGGAGGGAGCGTGGGAGGGAGGGTGGGAGGGAGGGGTGGTTCCAACAAGAGGGAGACGATTCGCTGTGGGGTGAAATAATCCCATATGAAGGGGTGGGTTTGCAAGTGGCAGAACTGGGGATAATAAAAGGGTCCTAGATTAGAATATAGCTCATAAGCAGTTGTTAAGGCCATGGGCTGGGTCAATCATCATATGTGACGGGCTAAGCCAGGTCTGTGTTGGCTTGGCTGCCTTGTTGGGCACCCGACAGGCCTGGGTCAGGGTCCTCACATTACAGGCCATGCCTGGGCCGGTGCAATTAAGGTAACTCGTGGTACCACAAAATCCAAAGCATGTTTCAGTATTAATTGTCATATTAATTTTAAAAAACTGAAAGTTTCTGCAGAAACCCAGCGAGTTTGGTTGAGTCGGAGGTGTTGCAAAACTTCAAAACAAATTTCTGAATGCCATAGGATAGTTCCCTCTTTCTGATTAATGAAAATTTATGCATTTTCTTCAATTCCAATACTACTGATTAGTTTGAACTAGATTAAAATTCATGGCATCTAGCAGTATTAATTAATTTATTTTTTAGGATAAATTATGATGATGAATCATCTGAGAAATGTGGAATGCTTCAAACCACATGTGGTACCTGACCTACAATATGCAAGCATTCATGAATAACCTATTGCTTTCTCCTCGGTTATGATCTGCTATATTTTTTTGCATGTTTAGATTTGTACTTCATATGTTAGAGGCTGTACAGTTTATAAAAGAAAAAGAAACTATTAATGGGACTTTGTGCTTTTCTTTAGTTGGCTTTTCGTGTGGGCCACCTCAGTTCTGATTCACTGTAATTGCTTGTAGCTTTATTAACACACAAGTATATTGTCTCCCATGCAGAATCATGATGATTCCTGCCTTGCATACTCTATGGCAGCTGTTTGTGACCTTTTATTTGATAAAGGGGTCTCAACTACAACTGGAATGATTGGCTCCACGTATTTACCTGGGGGTGATATTGGTAGGGGTTCTTCCTTGTCTACCCAACAACAATTGCTGGTGCTTCTAAAGAAGTCTCTTAAGAGTGCAGAGAGTTTGAAACTAACACGGCTTGTGGCCTTCAATCGCCTTGCGTTGGCGAAATTTGATCTTAAGGTAAAGGTTATGTGAATGTTTATTCTTAGGCAATGTTTAAATAAATGGATTGGTGACCCGGATCATCCATCTGGAAAACCGGTGCAGATCGGTGGATTGGCGGTCCGGATCAGTAAATTGGCAAAGCCTTCCATCTCCGGTCTTAATGTTTTTTTTTTAAATACTAAAATTTCTTATGTTTCAAAAGAAATTGGGGGTATTTGCATTGTAGATTTTCATTAATTGAGTGTTTGTTGACCAATTCAGCCATTTCATAGTCAAAATAAAGTTTAAAATGCAACCCATTGCAATAAAATGGATCTCTTAAACTCAATTTTTTTTTTGTACTTTTATAATCTCCATTAGCACTTGTGCTTGTAAATATAAGGGGATCTTGCCTGCTCATTTTTTACTTTACCCTTTTCCTGTAAATTAATTTAGTGAATTACTTATTTATTTCCATTCGTATTTTTATAGTAATGAAGTTGTATAAGTCTTAAGGATCAAAGAATTTTTTTTCCCATTCTTTTTTCGTTGATCTCCCTCATTCGCTACACTACTCTATTAATTTTATTCTAATTTTACTTTTGCTTCATTTTAACTTTACTTTTCTTGTTCTAGAGTAGCTGGTTAAACTTTCTTTTTGCTTTATTTTTCTAAATCTTTTCTCTTCTTTTCCCATCACTACTCTTAAGTGGATGTACTTTAAAATGGAAAATCTTTTTTCAGAAGAACCAAAAGCCATTAATAAAAGTACCAAGAATCTCCCAAAATTGCATAATGGTCTCTTGAAACTTTGTATGTAATGCCTTTGAAAAGTTGCTTTGGTGGTCTCCCTGCCAAAAAATTTATTGGACCCTAAACCTTGTTCTTATTGTCATTGCACTCATGTTTTCTTTTCTTTTAAACATTGGGGTGTTATAAAAGGAGTGTTTTCTTTTCTTTTAAGCATTGGGGTGTATAAAAGGAAAGGATTTTTATTAGTCACACATCGGGGATAATAGGAAGAGTATTTGGTTCTTTGGGGGGGGGGGACGATATTATTTAAGGGTTCATAGGGAACGTGTATGACATCCCTCTTAGAAGGAGAAGGATAGGCGTGCTGCCACCCCTCTAAATGAAAAAAAAGTATAAAATAAAAAAAGGAAATTAAAATTAAAAATTTAAAACAATAAAAAATAAAGGTGGGGTTAGTAGGCAAGTTCCCTAACAGAAGTGGCCAGTTCTGTCAGAGAACCGGCCAGTTCCACATAGAACCTTGCAGTTCCTGATATGTGGTGGGAACTGGGCTGGCCCCACCGACTCTTGATCCGATCCAATTGGCAATTTTTAAAACCTTGTTCTTAGGTGTTTTTCTTAAAAATTCATCTGGGTTTAAGAATGTGTTGTAGGCTTTCTGTCAGGTTATTTATAATTAGCACTAGAAGTCAACATTTCAAATCTTGATCTCATGCTCCATTTTGGAAAATCTATTTCTTATCAGCGTGTTAAGAGATCATTGGTTTCTTTTGGTCCTAAAGCGCCTATCAAGCTGAGATCATGCCCTATCGAAGTTTGTAAGGTATGGAGTTCTGTGTTAGTTGTCATGGATCATAATTGACATCCTCTCTGCTCAACGCAGCTATCGGGGGTTAAACTGGATCTTGAATTGTTGTTTTTCTTGCAGGAATTGAGATTAAGTTCTTATCTACTTAGTGAATTTGGCTCAGATGGGAGCTCGTTTCTGGCTGATGGTATTTTCAGTACTGCATGGCTGAACAGTCTACAAAAATCAGAATTGCCATCCATTATGTCATCAGAAAATGGAGCAAAAACCAATGATGATGCATTTTACTTTGCTGGTCAGCCAAGTCCGATTCCTGCATGTGTTTTGCAGCTGGCTGGAACTTCATATTTGCTTAAATGTGCTTCGTGGGAATCTTATGGCAGGTAAAATCCCATATGGGGATCATCTTTTGTATATTGACTTATCCATAAATGTTTATTTTCCCATATGGAATCAATGATTAGTGATGTTCTATTTGGCCACCATGGATGATACATTCCAGTTATTTTCCATATCTATATGGTAACATTTGTGATTCATGTATATTTCTTTTATTGGGAAAAATGTCAGTAAAATAGTCAAATCATCTCGCAAAGTCAAGTCAAATAAACAAATTCACTAACAAAGTAGATGCTTTTTAAAAATCTTTTTACTAGGGTGAAAGAATTGTGGAATTTAAGGGAGTAAAATAAAAAAATTCTCTTTTCTATTATTAATATTGGAATACCATGTACAAAATGCCAGAAATCAATGTTGTCAACAAGAAATACCACCCCTTTTACTGCTAAATAAATAATGCTCAATCCATGACTAAAAAGTAAGCTCTAACTATAAATTTTGGTCCAAATAGTGTTCCTAAAACTGCAATATAATAGAAGAATAATGACTGAAATTAAACTAAAAATGACGGGAAGACTTACTTGACTTTGCCTATGGTCAGCCCCCTTGGACTTGGTACACGCCGCACCCGATTAGCTAACCGATGACACACTTTGATCCTATTAGCCTTGCTAAATTTTATGAGTCAGGAAGCTTCCTTAGACAATACCTTTTTGATCTAAGGCTTTGAGAGCATAAAAAAGATTAGGGTTTCTTAGACTTCTTTTGGATCTCTCTAGGGCATGATTGACACCTCCCTTGGTCTGATTGTTGGATACATGTGCCCCGAGAGAGAGAGAGAGAGAGAGAGAGAGAGAGAGAGAGAGAGAG